CCCAAAACAGGTTTCTTAGAACATTGATGATAGTTATGTGCAACCTTCCGAGTATTCTTCTCATATTTTTATGGTTAGGTGGACAATCATGTGAAACCTTTTACGTACTCTTCTCATACCTTAACAATTAGATACAATCATTTTTCTTAAAGCTATGAAGCAAAAAACTTATGCGATTATTCCTTTAAAGTTAAATACACTCATAACACAGAAATGCCATTACACTATACTTAAATACCCATGATCTTTCAAAATTAAACATAAACCTTCTATTAAAACTAATGTCTAAACTTTTCCTAGAAATCACATAACAGCAAAGGTCAACCTGTTAGATATTTAACTATAGCTAAGTATACTTTCGCAAATATTTTCTGCCACAATGGACTAAACTTTTATTTGTGTAATTAATCATAGAGAAACCAATCTTTGGAACACTGACATTTCTCGGGGTCCTGCCGGTACAAACTGCACAACAATCTACAATTAGTAGGCCTCCATCTACAGCCCCATATCTCTCTGACTTGTCTCCAATCAAGACCAAATGGTTCCAGTTTGCCTTTAAGGAACACATGATATTTATAGTTTTCATTTATAATTCCTTGGCAGGGCAAGTGGGTTCCTGCTCGTGCATTGGCAGGCCGACCTCCAGGGCCCCTATAATACCAGCCCCAGTTTCTTAGTATAATGTTGGGGGTTTCCCTTAAGGGGGTATAAGATTTGTCTGGTAATTTAATGGGGATATCTAGGTACGTCACTACAGGATGGACTATGATTTTTCCTCTCTGTGCTATAACCACGGGGTGAGTAGATAAAATTCCCCGCCACCCCCTGGAGTCTATTTTCTGTGGTTGATTAGCAAGCTGTAGTTTCTCAAACCCTAGGATTTCCACTGGCAGCATGACTAGGCAAAGCAGGAGAAGCAGAACTGCCGCTTTCCTGGACGTGCCATGCCATCCGGGGTCATCAGTCTCCTTGACCATGTCAGAAGGCAGACCTTTGCAGTCGGTCCCCGACATGAGCCACCATGTCCAGCTTCACTGAGCATCTTAGATCTCTATGTTTTTCACACAGTTTGGGAAATTTTTAGTTTTATTTATTTAAATGCATTTTCTGTCTCATTATCTCTTACTCTTTTGGGGTACAATAACTTACATATTTTGATGTTTGATATCATTTTGCAAGTCATTGAGTCTGTTTATTTTCTTTAATTATTTTTCTCAGATTCAGTAATTATTATTGATCTGTCTTCAATTTAGTTACTCTTACATGATCTTCAATATGCTATTAAACCATCTAGGGATTTTTTTTTTTTAGTTGTTATACTTCTCTGTTCTAAAATATTCAGTTGTTTTTTTTATAGCCTCTATATATCTATGTCAAGATTATTTGTTTGTTCATATGATACTATTTTCCTTTAAGTTCTTGAACATATATCTGTAGCTGCTTATGCCTTTGTTCATTAATTCCAATATCTGGTTAATAGTGGGGTCAAGATCTATAGACTGCTTTTTTTTTCTCTTGGATATTGATCACAGTTCCCTACTTTTTCTATGTGTTAACTTTTTATTACAAGTAGACATGTATGATGAACTGTAGAGATTTTGGACTCTATGTTTCTCTTGCAAACCAAAAAATAAAATCCCAGCCCCCCCCCCACCAACCCCCACCTAACTGGATGGATCTCTTCTTGGCTTAAGGGATCCCAGAGAAACCTAAAAAATGAAATTCCAGGCCATGTTGGGTAGGGTGGTCAGACACATCTTATTATACTGCCTCTCTTTTGGAGTTCAGGTACAACTGACCATATTAACATTAAAACAGACAAAACAGAATTTGTGGCAATAAGATACCAGATTCCAACCTTACTCTAGTATAGTATCACATATTCTCTAAGGGCTGCCACCTACAAGACTTGATCCATATAACAAGGGCCTTGGTTTCCACAACCTCTTTACCTTATTGCTTTCTACTGACTTCTCAAGTCTTTAGAAAAAGCTTAATTCTTTCAACTGATGCCATTGCCAGTCAGAACATCTTTTAATCCACCTATGACATGTAATCTCCCCCCCCAACTACTTCAAGATATCCCATCTCTTAGGACTGAACTAATATATACCTTTCATGTATTAATTTATGTCTTTGCTTGTAACTCCTGTCTCTCTAAAAATATATAAAACCAAACCTATCCAGTTACTCCAGGCATACTTTCTCAGGACCTCTTGAGACTATACCCCAGTCCATGGTCACTCATATTGGCTCAGAATAAACCTTCTTTAATATTTTATAGTTTGGCTCTAGGTAGTTAACTAGGAGGATTTGAACTCCCAACTCTGTCTCCTTTGGTGTAGACAGAAGCTAAAATCTCTGCTCAGTTTTTTCACTGTTCAGATGCTATTGTTGTCAAGCCTCCTGGAGTCAAGTGATTAGCCAATAATTTGGTTAGAGTTTATTATCTCCTTTGTGGTCTCCTTCTTTCCAGGATTTTCCCATAATTTTACAACTTCTCTGTCAGTTCTAATCTATGTTCTGTGAAACTGCACACCAATAAGACTATGGCTTTTTGTCACCCTGTGATGCATAGATTGAGAAGTACTCTCAGACACAAACTTGCAAATCTCTCTTTTTAGAAATTCTTTTCTTCAGCTCTTTTGAAGAAACTTTCAGACCTTTTTTTTTTCCTCCAGAGTTTATAATTGTTATCTGTGGAAGCGTTAGTTTAACCAAACTATTGCACCAAAAATGGAAACCAGAACTTCCCTACTCTTAAATTATTTTTTATTTTTTTATGACAGGTCTCGCTATGTTGCCCAGGCTGTTCTTGAACTTCTGGGGTTAAGTGATTCTCCCACCTCACCCTCCTGAGTAGCTGGGACTACAGGCATGTGCCACTGTGCTAAGCTCCTTACGTTTTGTTTTTGTTTTTGTTTTTTGAGTTGGAGTCTCACTCTGTCGCCCAGACTGGAGTGCGGTGGCCGCCGCAGCCTCGACCTGCTGGGCTCCGGCAATCCTTCTGCCTCAGCCTTCCAAGTAGCTGGAACTACAGGCCCGCACTACCACGCCCACTACTTTTTTTATTTTTATTGTAGAGATGAGGTCTCGCCAAGTTGCCCAGGTGGGTCTCAAACCCGCGGGCTCAGGCAATCCACTCACCTCAGCCTCCCAAAGCACGGGATTACAGGCTGAGCCACCGAGCCCGGCTGGCTCCTTAAGTTTTAACAGCATCTTTGAACTTATATTTTTTCGACATCTATAGCTAGTATTTATCTACTCTCCTGAAAAAAATAGTGCCAATAATCTTGGCAGGCTTTCATTTCCCTTCTTGTAAACTTCCTGTAAACTATATCTCAAATTGAGAATTCATTTGGGATTTTAGTTCCTGGTTTGGGGCCTTTATTTATTTTTCTCAAAAAAAATTTTTTTTGAGTCAGGGTCTCACTCTGTTGCCCAGGCTGGAGTGTAGTGGCACAATCACAGTTCACTGGAGCCTCAACCTCCCAGGCTCAGGCAATCCTTCTGCCTCAGCCTGCTGAATAACTGGGACTACAGGTGCGTGCCACTATTCCTGGTAAATTTTTTTATTTTTTTTTGGAGAGATGAGGTCTCATTATTTTGCCCAGGCTGGTTGTGAACTCCTGGCCTGAAGCAATCCTCCCACTTCAGCCTCTCAAAGTGCTGGCATTATAGGCTTGAGCCATCAGATCTGGCCAGGTCTTTATTTGTGAATGCTATATTATCTAGAGATTGGAGTGTATGTGTAAAATAATTTTTACTCAGAAAATTGAAGATATTCCATTATCTTCCAGCCTACCAATTATTGCCAGTGAAGAGCCTGTTACCAATAATGTTTTGGAAGAAGGGACCATAACGAATATATATTAAATTTTTAAATGTTACATACAGTAAAATTAACCTTCTTGATATACTGTTCTAAGTGTTCTTAGGCATGAAGCCAAAAGCTCTATCCCTAAAACTTAAAAATATGACAAATTGAACCTTATCAAATTAAAGGTTTTTGCTTTGCCAACCTCATTAACATCACCCAGCTGAACTCAGGAGCCTTTAAACAAGGTTTGTGGAAACAGAGGAATAAAGGAGATAAGCTGTGTAAGAGGCAAAGGTTGATTTTGTTCTGCAAAGAACCATTCTGGCTCATATCACAGCGTGGCAGAAACAGCTCAGATTGAGATAATGCAGATTTGGTTTTGGAATCTGACCTTGGCTTTCTCTGTCTTTGTAACCTCAGCAAATTTGGAACAACATGAAATGTGAATAAATACAACATCTTTATGTCATATTTCTTATTTGTAAAATAAAGGATGATGCTATCTTTCCTATTCACCCTTTGGGGTCTTTTCTGATGATTAGATGAGACCACGTATTTGAAAACACTTTGAGGAACATAGCATAATAAAACATGAGGAACTCTTTTGTATTTCCATTTGTCCCTCTATGCTGAGTCCAGTAACACTTTGTGTGAAAAAATGATTTAAGCATTATGGATTGCTGCTATTATGGCAAATAAGGAATCATTTTATTGTTATCATTGTGTCAATAGTGGACTACTGAAGACTGAAAACTCAAGAGCCAAAGAAGGTCGAGTTTTGTATACCACAATAAATGGATGGGGTTGGAGGAATATCAGCATGGAAAGTTGGCAGTGTCAGAAAGAAGTACTTGCAATATTGTTTAAGCCCTATAAAAGATTAATACCTACTTTACATTCCTTTTTGTTGTCCCTGCCCCGAAAGACCCCTTCAGTTTCATAAATAAGAAATGGTTGCAAAACACTTTAGAGTGTGAGGTGGAAGAAAGATCAGATTTACTCTGCAACTAGACTGATGGGGAAAGAAGACTATGTGAAACCTATGTTTTTTGTCATGAAGAATTTATTGGAAAAAGTAAAAGGAATATTGAGAGATGGAATTGGAGCAGGGAAGACAGAAGAATGGATAATGGTATGAATAGGAGAGGAAAGAGAAGATATTTGAGCATCTTGTCTAAAGTAAGGCACGCCTTCTAGATCTTGTTGCAGAAAGATTGATTCCGACAGCATATAATTTGCATCCTGGTTCCATGGGAGAAGAGGTTCATAGATGGGCACATGTTCTCACATCCCTGAACCATAAATTGAAGTTTTCCACCTGAAAGGAGCAGAGACAAACTGTAGTGTGTCGAAAGCTTCCTCCTCTAACTTCAGTCTTTATTTATATGATCCTCAATGTCTCCATGCAGGGGTGGTGCAGACCTCTACTTGTATATTCTGCCTCCCCTTCCCTTCTATTTGCTTTCCCTGGGATCTAGACCCCAGCTGTTGTCTACTCATCTCTCATATCATCAATCTTTTCCTTTCTTCTGACTCCCTTTTTGGTTTACAAACATGCTAATTTCCCTCAAACTCAAAAATACTTCTCTTGGCCATGCTATTCTCCTACCATTATCCTTCCTTTCCTTCAAATCTTTCCAGAGATCTGGCTTTTCTGCTCATTTTAACTTTGTCTCCATTCATATCCTGGCTCCTGACACTCTGAATCATGATCCCACTGTGCTAAAACTTATCTCTCAACGGTCACAGAGGTTGACCGACCAAATTCTATAGCCTTTTCTGAGGACTTTTTGACTTCTTTGCATGCACATAATGCTGTTGACTACACCTTCTTTCTTGGTACTCTCTTCTCCTTACTAGATCTTCTCCACTGCTCATCTACTTCTCTGGATTCAATTATCTCTACTCTCCCAAATGGAATTCTCACATTTCTGACTGACTAATCATCATCCCCATACCGATATGCTAAGGACGTCTAAAACTTACTGTATTCACAATGAAACTCATTACCTTCCCAAAGATTACCTCATGAAGTCCCCACAAACCTTCAAAGATTTTCTTTAACATGCACTGCTGGGACTTCTGAGTGGTGCAGATTCCCTCTCCACGAAGACATTGTCCTTGATTATTCATATAAGCGCATGTGTGACAATTTAACATTGCACCTGAAAATTTAAGATAAGTATTATGATGATGAACCAGGGTTGCAACCTTGAGTCACACACCTGGGGAAGCATGGGCAAAAATGAAGTATGGATACCATTCACTGACATGCTGCATTTCAGAAGTTGATCACTCTTTTGTTTTTTGGGGGGTCTGAGGGCCCTGTGTCTGACAGAGTCGTTTCAGAGGACATTTCTCATTCTTACTGCTTCATCTATGAACCTCATTGTTGATGAGTCTCATATTTATTTCTCTGATACTTTTACTCCAGTCCATATCCCCATTGACTTACTGGACATTTTAAATTAGATGCCTTTCTGTCATTTTTGATGCAGTAGGAACAAAATATATGATTATCTCTTTTTTGTACTCTCCATCATACTCTTATCCTCAAGGTGCACACACTCAGAATCATATTTGACTGATTAATAAACTATGTTAGAATGCTGTAATGTTGCAAACCCTGTAAAGAATCTGCACCGCCTGGCTTGATGGCTCAGCCTGTAATCCCACGCCTTTGGGAGGCTGAGGTGAGTGGATTGTCTGAGCTCGCGGGTTCGAGACCCGCCTGGGCAGCGAGACCTCATCTCTACAATAAATCAAAAAATCAGCCGGGCGTGGTAGCACATGCCTGTAATTCCAGCTACTCGGAAGGCTGAGGAGGAAGGATCGCCAGAGCCCAGCAGGTCGAGGCTGCGGTGGCCGGGAGCGGCCACTGCACTCCATTCTGGGCGACAGAGTGAGACTCCAACTCAAAAAAAAAAAAGAATCTGCACCATTCTCCATGTTCAAAATTACCTTATTGAAAATCACTAACAGTATTTTTCTTGAAATGCTTCTATACTGGCTCTTTTACTATTGCTACTTCTAATCCCCCATTCGGGGAAGCATAATAAAGCAGAAAGAGTGTGGGCTATGCACAGACTTAAGTTTGAATCTAAAGCTTTCTAGCCATATGACATTGGGCATATTACTTAGCTTCACTTTTTTCATCTAAAGACTTAGAAGAATAATCCTTATGCAATGGGATCAAACATGAAGTATTTATGTGTAATAACTTGAGGCATCGCCAGGTGTGGTGGCTCAAACCTGTAATCCCAGCACTTTGGGAGGTGGAGATGAGAGGATTGCCTGAACTCGGGAGTTCGAGACCAGCCTGAGCAACATGGCAAGACCTCATCTCTACAATAAATTTTTAAAAATTAGCCAGGTGTGGTGGCGCTGCCTGTGGTTTCAGCTACTTGGAAGACTGAGGCAGAAGGATCACTTGAGCCCAGCAGGTCAAGGCTGTGGTGGCTATGAGCATGCCACTGCACCCCAGCTTGGGTGATAGAGTGAGACTTTGACTCAAAAACAAACAAAATCCCCCAATAACTTGAGGCATTAAATGTTGGATCTTGTTTTTCTTCTCTGAGCAATGCCTTTTATTTTTTGAGTTGGAGTCTCACTCTGTCGCCCAGACTGGAGTGCAGTGGCTGCTCCCGGCCACCGTGGCCTCGACCTGCTGGGCTCTGGCGATCCTCCTGCCTCAGCCTTCCAAGTAGCTGGAACTACAGGTGCACGCTACCACGCCCGGCTAAGGTTTTGATTTATTGTAGAGATGAGGTCTCGCCAAGTTGCCCAGGCAGGTCTCGAACCCACGGGCTCAGGCAATTCACTCATCTCAGCCTCCCAAGGCGCGGGATTACAGGCTGAGCCACCGAGCCCAGCCTGAACAATGCCTTTTAAATAAAAACAATAAAATAGCAGTTGTCCTGGGAACTTATTTCTAGATCTAACAGATAAAAGCTTTATACTCTTTTTTCAAACAAAAAAAGCCCCCATCAGCTGTAGTGCTAGACATTTCTTTACAGGATTTGCAAAGTTATAGCATTCTAACATAGTTTCTTAAGAGGTAGGTTTAAGCCGGGCTCAGTGGCTCAGCTTGTAATCCCCTGCCTTTGGGAGGCTGAGGTGAGTGGATTGCCTGAGCCTGAGGGTTCGAGACCCGCCTGGGCAGCGAGACCTCATCTCTACAATAAATCAAAAAATCAGCCGGGCGTGGTAGCGCATGCTTGTAATTCCAGCTACTCGGAAGGCTGAGGCGGAAGGATCGCCGGAGCCCAGCGAGTCGAGGCTGCGGTGGCCAGGAGCGGCCACTGCACTCCAGTCTGGGTGACAGAGTGAGACTCCAACTCAAAAAAAAAAAAAAAAAAAGAGGTAGGTTTAGCATGAATCTAATGAAGATTAGTCTTCAAAACTGTGCTCTTCCATGAGCCCCTTCTAGGGAAGCCATGGACATTTGTATTTGTAGTTATAATTTATGGAGAATGGAGTTGGAGGGGCTACTGACATTTTGTATTTGTGTTATTTTTCTTAAAGCAGATCCTCCAAATTGTTTAACCTTCAAAGGCTGCACAAAACCTGGATCTTGTTTTGTGGTATTATTGTGAAGAGACCTAGAGTCTTTGGAAGAGCTGTTTAGGAGTGCTAACACTTTTCTTCTTCTGCACTCCTTTCTTAAAATTGACTTTTCTTGATGTGTGCCCCACCTCCCCCCTGAAGTCAAGGACTAGCACCCATCCAAATGTGGCTCACCTAAAGATGTGCTTGAAAGTGGTGCATCCGAAGGTTGTTCTCCTGAGATGTGCTCACCCGAAGGCTGTTCACTTGAGGCAGTATCACTCGAAAGCTGTTCACCTGCGGCATGCTCACCCGAAGGCTGTTCACCCGAGACATGCTCGCCCGAAGGTTGGTCACTCGAGACGTGCTCACCCACAGGCTGTTCGCTCGAGGCGTGCTCACCCAAAGTGTGCTCAGCCACAGGCTGTTCACTCGAGGCGTGCTCACCTGAAGGCTGTTCACTTGAAGTGTGCTCACCTGCAGCATGCTCACCTGCAGCATGCTCACCTGCAGCATGCTCAGCTGAAGCATGTTCACCTGCAGCTGGGTGTTCTTCAGAAGTATGCTCGGCCATAGCATGCTCACTTGAACCATGTTCACTTGAACTGTGCTCGCTTAAAGTGTTCTCGCCCGAGGAAGTCTCATATAAAGCCTCAGCATTGGAAGGGTTTGCAAGTGAAAAGTACTCACCTGGAAGTTGTTGAACTGAAGCTTGATGATCAATAGAGCCAGAAGGTTCATCAGGCTGACCTGATGCTCCTGTGATGGAAAAGGAACAGAAGAGAGACAGTGAAGTTGAGAGAGAGAATAGGGCAAAGACTACCTTCCTATGGAGAGAAGCCAATGTTGGAAGACCCCTAGGTTTCCTATTGGCCTAGATTAGGCACCTGGAGATAGTCCAGATGTTGAGAGAAGTCAATTAAGTACCCTCAAGAGACCAGAGGACAGAGGTGTTTAATGAAACACAGAGACCACCTCTGGGATTGAAGGGAAGAATTTTAAGATCCACAATGTTAAGAACTACACAGGGAGACTCACTCTCCCATGCACCTAAAGCACCTGATGGGAAATGAATATGTCTCCCTGACAAAGTTGGCATCAGAAAATCAATGTATTAATTTTACATTATAATTATAATCAGAAGTCTACCACCAGCCCTCCCAGGTATTTAAAAATCTTTTAATACCTGAATCATTGTAGCCTAAATTAAGGTACAAAGATTTAAACCTTTGGACAGGATAAACTTTAAACTAGATGATGACAAATATCTAATGAGCCCCCAAGACTTATCAGAAGGGATTAAGTCACCTTTATTTGATAAGGTCAAGTTCTTTCTCACACTGAATCCCCAGTCCATGTGGGTTGGTGACTCAGAAAGCAATGTTGCTTTAAATTATTAAGATGAAAAATTCTTGACTTATATATCTCTGAATTGAGATCCCTTGTGACATACCATTTATACTTACTTCATGGAGTTGTCATGAGTATTTAATAGCGTAAATTGTAAAATGCACCATTATCTAGTGCTCCATTCATTTTAATTTTTTTTCTCCCCACCTTACACTAGGAATTACAAGACTTCTAGATGGTTATTCTCTTCTGGCCCATCTCTTGTATCTTTAATCCATCTCATTTAATGACTGTCAGACAAATATTTCTTAAGTGTGATTTTCATTTTAACTGAAAGGAAGCACCAATTTATTACTCTGACAAATCAAGCCACCTAGAAGAGGACAAGCAAACCATACATCTGAGTTATTCTAGCCAAAAGTTGAGAGAAGTGATATAGTCTCTTTGAGGTTGAGGTGGTCCAAAGCCGCTGAGTACTCGAACTCTGTGAGAATTCTACAATAGATACATTTTCTGGGCACACTCTAGTACTTAAAATCAATGACTTTCTAAAAGACTAGAGTTAGAATATATTATATAATGGAAAGATAAGATTTAGTAAGGCTTTTAAGAGGTTTTTTTTTGTTGGGGTTTTTTTGTCAGTAAGCTATTCAAGAGAAGTTTTTGTTTTAAAAACTTATTACATAAATACTATCTACTTGACTGATTCTTTAGTTAACAGAAGTTTTAATAAACAGTTGCTTCTGGTATAGAACGGAGGCTTGAAAAAGCATATTAATTTCTTAACAATTCTTAGGATTTATGACTCATTGCTTCACTATTGACTGGCATATACTACCATCTGGTGGCTGTGTAGTTACATTTTTGAGTCAACTTTTGAAAACCTAACAAAGCAAAAGCAAAATCTCTGACAGTTGACATTATAGAAAATATATTGTCACTTCACTAACAGCTCAGAGCTCATGGCTTTTCTTTTTTCCTGTAGAAGGCAGCAGGGAACACAGCCCACCATGACTGGGGGATCCTGAAAGAGGAGATACAGACAACTGGATAGATAGAACATAGCCATGAAGGAGAGGCTTGTGAGCTCTCTGGCCTTGTAGCCCTGCTGTGTTCTGAGATGGCTTTCTGAGCACATCGCATCCCCATCTTCTCCTCTCTTTCCTTGGCATAGTAACTACACAAGGATTCCTTAATTGGAACAGACAAACCTTTATTAGACTTCTACAGAATCTCTAGGCCTATCCTCCCATCTCATAGAGCATCAGGTACCAATGTTTAGTGACTGAAAGAAGTAGGAACAAGACTGTGCCAGGCCAGGGCCCCTCTGACTGTAAAGCCATAACTAGGAGAAATCAATTGGTTCAGTAGCTCTCAGAGTTGAACTTGCTTAGCTACTCTTGATTTTGAGTCAGATTGGTGTGGGTAACTAAGAGACAGGTATTCCTTCTTCAAAGGTGAAACACCTTAAAGGAGGCCCTTTATGTATCCACAAGAAACCTAGATAGAACACTCACCTCCAGCAGATCCAAGCAGAGAAAGACTGATTAGTAAAAGAAACTTCATTTGGATTTACAGAAAGAGGGGATTCTACTATGGGCCACCCAAGAACTGTGAAAAAAACTGAGCAAAAGCTCCCAGTACTGAATCAGAGCTACTGAGAATTCTAGAACTTCAGGAACCACCCACATTTCCTCACAATGGGTTGTACTCTGAGGTACTCATGTAGCTTGTTGAGATCAGTTGGCCCTTAGTAACTCATTCCTTAATTCACTAGTGAAAGCTAATGAATATTTTCTGTGTAGTATATTTGGGCTATCTGCCTATCTTAAGAAAAAATGTATTACCAAAATAATCCATACTCTTTGTCAAAAAGTTTAAGGATATCTACTCTCCTTTTAAAAGTGTTCTTGATAGTAAAGTTATTTTTTGTTTGGCTATCTAAATTAGCCTTTCTTGGCCCTGCTCTGTACCTTGGAATGCTGACCTCTATTTATCACCTGAGCACTGGTTGGATTTGGCTTCAGATTGGGTTTAGCCAAGATTGGAAAGGAGAAGAGAGAAGGAGCAGGAGGGGCGGGAGGGATAGATAGATACTAGAGGATTATTTCTATTCCCTTCCTGCCACAGTTGATAATGACTGAGTCTTTATAAGACAAAGCTTCTGTTGGGTGTCCTCTCTCAGGCCTAGGGATGATAATGGTTTTCTGCTGTTGTTTAAGCCTGGATGCTTCAACTTGCCTTTTTAATTTTTTTCTCCTTAACCTTGTCTACTTCTATAAATAGTATTTTCATATAGACCTTTTTCAGTCCTGGTTTTGGCAGGAAATACATGGAAAACTCAAATGGGTAACTGAGGAGAGTTTACACAGATATAGGCAGCGTAAAGGGATCAATAAAGCATAGTTGAAAGCTGTGTCATGAGCTATAACACTTTTTAAAAAAATAATGTTTGGGCATTTATTAAACTGGCTTGATTTATCTCATGTGTGTGTACATTTCACTGTAGAGAATTTTAATTTAAAATTATAAAATAGCTTCTAATAATAGCAAGGCCATATATAATATTGTGCTGTAATTTCTATCAAGGGAGTAGCCAAACTGAGAAGAAGATGGGTGTAGTGAGGAAGCTACCTGGTATAAAGCTAGAACTCTTGGGGGGTTGGGTGGCAAAGATCCTCTTGCTTCCCTTTCTCACTTCTTCCCTGCCAAGCTCTCTTGGACAACTTTGTTACCACTGAATGCTGGACCTAGAATAGATGTACTTATCACTGTTGTAATTATTTGTTTCATGTCTGTATCCCCCATTGGTCTCTAAGCTCCTTGAATGCAAGGACCCTGTCTTGATCACCGTTATAGCCCTAGTACTTAACAGCATACATGCCATGTAATAGATACTTAATAAACTTATCCTGAATGAAGGAAAGAATGAATTGACTTTTGGGGCTTCTCTCTGCCTCATGGAAGAGAATCTAGAGAGCCCTTGGAGTCTGCTGGTTTAAGGTTCTGGATCAGTTGAAGAAAGCAGGATCAGCAGGAATCAAAGTTACTTGGCTTGTGTTGGAGGATAAAACCAGGATTTCTGAGTCTCAGGAGGGCTCCTTCGGAGTAGAGAAAAGCATAAAGAGCATGTTATCAGTAGTTCCTCCAGGAGGAGTGAGTTTGGAGGAACGGCTATGAAATCACATTGGGTCAGACTTTTATTGATAGAAGCAGTAAAAAGTAGTGAAAAGGAAGAAGTGCTATCTGTCCCACCTGCCGGTTGTTTTGGCCGCACCTCTTCTTTTAATTATTGGAACTTTAGGAGAAATCCCTGCCTCACCCCTCTGTTTCCTCTCTGTTTTTTTGAGGTTGACTTTAGAGAAATATATCCCAATTTTACACAGTGGCTTTCCCTAGGTTCTACCTTGGAAGCTTTGCTCCCTGAGCCCAGTAGTCTGGCCCTTCAAAGACAAACCTGCGAGCATCTGAGCACACCATATATAAGAAGACGTGGTGATGGAGAATTCACTTTTGAGACTTGAAGAGTTCTGAACTAAGACATCTAGAAACATTCCAGTCCCTGCCTCCTGCCTCTGCCAATCTTTTATCCTAGATGAACTGATCTTCCAGTTTTTAATACACCTAAATGAACCACAGACTCATATTGCTCTTGTTTTTTTTTTTTTGTAGACTGGTCCAAAAAGATGAGCTGAGCCAGAGTTCCCTCACAAGAATTTACATTTGGAACACAGACATACAGAAAATGTGCTCTGGAGAGCTGAGTCAAAAGGTCATTTATGCTCATGTGCAGAGACCAGTATTTGGGGCTAATGGAAGGATGAGCAAGCCAAGAAATCCAAGAGATGGTAACAGAAAAGAACACAGAAGAGATGAGACATATCATGCCTCAGTCAGTTGATCTAAAGTAACAAGGAATTATGTAGATATACATGTAGGAATACATTCCATCTAGGCTCAGCCTCATGGAGACCTGAATACAGTTTGTGACCTGAAAGTTGGTTCTGGATACACAGCAGTTCTAATAATCTAGTTATCTTGTGGGCCTTAGTTTCTTCCAGCCTTCTTTCTTGCCTGTGTTCATGCTGCTCTGAACTCACTTTTCTCTCCTCTTGATTTTGTGATTTCTGCTCTGTATAACTTCTATATATTCATGGCCTTTGCTTATTCGTGGTTTATGAGTGTTCATTACTTCTGCTTGCTCACGACTTCTTTTTATTCATGGCTTCTGTTTATAGACCCATGACTTTTCCTGACAGGTGCCTTTGTCTATCTTTTGGCTTCTGGCCCTAATGTGTACTACTGGCTCTCCTCACATTCAGAGTTTTCAAGAGAGAGAATCTGAATAGTTTCACCCCTCACTCTTGTCCTTTTTCTACAAAATTCTATTGCCAGGCTACCTTACAGGCCTTTTATGTAATTTATGGTGGCCAGATGGAAGGGGCTTTGTGATACTTAGTATGATTAGTTATGTTGAGAAACCTAGGGAAGGGGCCATAGGTGTGGCAGCCATTCCAAGGCTTCCCCCAAGCTAGGGAGAGAAGAATGGTAAAACTGGAAAGCATTTACTTTATCCATGCAGTGAAAAGCATCAAGAATTTTCGCAATCTGTTCCCAAATTTACTTTCTCTGTCTTATGTTTCTATTCCTTTCCTTTCTCTTTATCCCAGGTTTAATCCTAGGCCACATCCACGTATAACTTCTAGTTATTATTTGAATATGTAGTGCTGTCTATATTTGCATTTCCCCTCCCTCCATTTTTCTGAAGTATACTCTATCTAATTTTCCTAATGATAATGAATTAATTCTTAACTCTTCACATTCTCCCTGGAAAGTCTTTTCCATTACAATCACTACCTACAAACTGAAGACTTTCTAAGTCTATCAATCTGGCCCACAGACCCCTCTCTTCTTAATTCAGACCCATATATACCACAACTTGTTGAACATTTCTAACTGGATATCCTACAACATCTCATATTCAGCATTTGTAATACTGAATTCATCTTTGTACTCCAACACTTCTCCTATGATCTTTAGCTCAGTAATTGACTTTGTCATAAACTCAGATCCCAAACTGGAATTCTGGGTATCATTGTGTCCTCCCTTGCCTTCACTTCACACATCAGATCAGTTTTATTTCTAACTAACTCTTCAATTTGCTCTCTATCCCACTAACACCACCCAAGTTCAGGCTCTCGTCTTCTTTCCCCAGATTCAGGAAACAAACAACTTCCTTCTCCATCTCTATTGCCCTCATCAGAACTTTCATTTTTTTCTGCTACTGAAGTTTGGTTATGTATGCTGAGAGTTTCTGGTACACAAAGGATATTGGACTCCTTAAGATTAGAAGGGGGAATCTGAGGTTTCTTCCTCCCACCAATTAATTTGCTTGTTATTATATGAGTGATGAATGCTTCCAGTTGTTTTGAATTGTAAACAGATAAAAGATGCATTTCTGCGAATGTATGAATGTAATTTCAGCCTTTTAAAGGGAAAGACAGGGCAACTCCCTAGTGTCCCCTCCCACTGTGGGAGATTTTCTGTCCCCTCAATAAATCCTACTTTAAAAAAAAAGGAATAAAGGGAAAGACAGAATGGATCCACATGAAGATATTCATGTTGTGAAGCTACATCTATTTTTAAATTTTTTTAATTTTTAAATTTTTTTGGGTTGGAGTCTCACTCTGTCGCCCAGGCTGGATTGCAGTGGCACACTTACGGCCATCGCATCCTCGACCTGCTGGGCTCAGAAGACCTTTCTGTCTCAGCCTTCCAAGTAGCTTGAACTACAGGTACCCACCACCATGCCCAGCTAATTTTTTGATTTATTGTAGAGATGAGGTCTCACTAAGTTGCCCAGGTTGGTCTTGAACCCATGGGCTCGGGCAATTCTCTCACCTCGGCCTCCCAAAGTGCTGGGATTATAAACATGAGTCACTGTGCCTGGTTTTACAATTATTTTTTAACAAAACTAGAATATACCTGTAAGTCTGAAACTACATTTTGTGAAACATTAACTGGTTTATCAGAGCAGAAGGTAAAATCACAGTGCCCATAGAGGGGGATGGTGGCAAGAGTCAAGCTGATGTTCTCTATGATACCAGAAAAAGGTGTTGATTGCTGCAAACAAAAGATGGCTGAAGTGCGAGTATAGGAGAAAGTAAGACCCTCAGATCCCTCCTCTCTTCTGAGTTCTACTCAAATATCCAGTTACCAGCTATCTCCATTTTATACGTTTATGTAATGATCTCAGCAGAAAAAGGAAGTGTATAAGGGGGGACCTCAAAAATAACAGAATTATCATTTGGAGAGTGGGCCTCTTGTGGTACAGGCTTCCCATGCTATGTAAGTGTTCTAGGAACCCATTCGCATCAGTGTACCAGGCAGTGTTGTTGTGAGAGGCTGCATTCAGCTTCAGTCAATTTATTTGGGAGATTCTTTCAAGACATTTGCCCATTTCATGATGAGTGACTTATGAGCGCACCTGCCCACATTGTGCTGAGTGTTCGGTCTTTTACCAAAAATGGCATGACCCCCTTGCCTCACCCTCCTTATTCACCCAATCTGGCCCCGAGTGCCTGTTTTTTTGTTTCCT